CGACCCCCGCGGACGGCAGGTGCCGGGGAGGTCCGCGGGGTCCCGGCGGCCGCGGCGCCGGCCTGTGTGCTCCGCGCCGACGCGGCCCGTCCCTGCCGCCGGACCAGACCGCATTCCCTGAGTCTCTCGTATCGGAGCATTTTTCGCTTCAGTATACCTTTGTGCAGAATTGGGGGCGAATAGAATTACACAAGAAAGTGTTCTGTCACCAAGCCATTTCGCCAAAGAGCTGGAAAACTAATTGACCTGTGTATGAGAGACCTAGCCGTACTGTTTGCCAGACTGCCCGATATGATACACATCTGAATTCACTGATTTCTTAACTATACTTAATGTCCCTGGACCATTCAGAAATGGCACGGACAATCCTAGCCTCCAGTTATTTTTTGGTGTTAAAAATGCAACAGAAGCACCAGCTCTGTAAAGCTAGGGCAGGCTTGAAACGAATCACTGAGTAGTATAGATGAGATTTACTCTGGTTCCAATGTGTCAAGAGGAAGAAACTCCAAAGTTTAGTTCTTAATGCTGCATCTTGGGGTGTTAGTAATTGTTTACCAATTCTTGCTCCTGCTCATATTGTCTTTCCATAATTGCTTCTGAGTAGGAATCAAGATTAGCGTCCTTCTAGGATGAGCTGACATTGTGAATCTATTTTTTAAGAACTATTTCAGAATGTGCAAAAACTCCAGAAAAGCCTCTGGATATTAATTGAGCAGAGCTTTCTTAGTTTGAGTGTTGTCAGAACCAACCAACCAACAAAACAAAAACTTAGCCTATCAACCGTGTAGAATCGCCCATAGTATTTTGGGGATTGTAGGTCCCTTTAAAAATCTGGTGGAGGCTGGGGCCTCTGCGGGAACATTTACACGATGCGATTTCATTGGTTCACAAACTCTTCCAGGAAGAGAAAAGATCAAAGAGAAAGAGAAACGATGGTTATCAAGATTTGATGGTAAAATGATTGAACTGTTTAGATTGTGACAGATTTGAGAAAACTGGTAAAATTATATAGTGAGTGCTCAGCCACATGATTCCTAATAAGCAGAGGCGCTTAATGAAATGGCCAAAGAATAATGCAGTGAAATTTGGGTGAAGTAGTTATGGGTTCCAAGAGAGGGGTTGTAGTGACAGGACCTTGCTCGGTATTGATAGACTGTTATGGCAGACATGATTAGCTTTAAAAGTTTTCCAGAATTTTATGTATTTCCAAAGTATGTGACCTATTATCAGCAGGTTGCGCTTTGGTTGGCATCCTTATGGCAACTTAATAAATTGCAGCATTTTTTTTGGTTTCATTTGCTGGAGGTAGTACTGCTGTTTAAAAGGATTTTTTAAAATCTTTTTTTGTTGCCAGACATGGTGGTACATGCCTGTAATCTCAGCGCTCAGGAGGCTGAAGCAGTAGGATTGCTGAAGGTTCAAGGCCAGCCTGAACTAAGTAGCAAAACATTCTTTTAAAAAACAAAACAACTAAAAACTCCCCAGTTTTTGTTGTTGTTATTGTATAGATCATTTGGAGTTCATGGGGATGCTGAAATGGATGTGATATAGGACTTATTGGAAATGCTGGGAGGCATAATGAAAATGCTTCCTTTTATTTATTTTTAGATTGCTAAGGAAGTGATTAAAAACATCACACATCCTCTGTCTGATGTGGGGCTTTGTTACAAGTATGGATGGGAAAATGAAGTGAAGACAATACAGATCACTGGTTAAAGACCGGTGTATTAGTGTGCACCTAGTGAATTTGTTCATGTCAGAGGTGGGAAAACACTTTTTCCGCATGATTTTTCTGGAGTGGACTTGCTGTGGTGAACAAAGCTCTGTGCAGGTGGCCTCATAAACCTGTGACTGACATAGCTGTATCTGGATCGAACTTCCTGAACCCTGTCAGGTCTCCTCTGGCCAGGGTATTAGAATATTACAGTTCAACCTGCGTATAAAGAATCTCCTTTGGCAGCCTGCGAAGGGGGTCGGGAGCATGCGCAGCACACGCGGGCAATGGGGGCATAGGAGACGGGCGCAGATACCCACTCTCTCCACTAGACTTACAAGTGCCCTTTCACACTGTTGTGTCACCAGCACCTTCATGCCGATCATTCCAACTTGAGTGTGCAACTCAGAGATTCCTCTGGTGGCTCGTGACTCACTCTTCACCCAGATTTTTCATAGACTGAAAAGCCAAACTAAGTTCTACGACCCAGACTCATCCGTTTTTTCACTTCTCCCAATCTTGCGCCTCACCCTAATATTTCTTATACTATTGGTTAACAACACTTAGGTACCTGTCTGAGCCTTTTTTCTTTTTCTTCAAGTACTGGGGCTTAAACCTGCGGCTTAAAAATGCTCTAGAACCCCAGCCCTGGAGTCTTCTTTGATTTCTTGGCCAACTACTTTGCTTTGCTCCTACCTAAAAACAATAAAACACACACACACACACACACACACACACACACACACACACGCACATATGGATTCCATAATCAGTCACTGTTTTTTGTTTTTGTTTTTTTTTCGGAACCGGGGATTGAACTCAGGACCTCGTGTTTGCCAGGCAAGTGCTTATTCTACTGAGCTATCTCCCCGACCCCCAGTCACTGTTGTTACCAGATTGTTTAAAACAAAAACTGACTCCTCAAATTGAAAAAAAATTCAGTACTTTTCTGATAGCTGTGGATGAAGTTCAAAGTGTACTATTTAGTTTAGCCTACAGGGCTGCTCAGGATCTGACCCTGGCCTTCCCCCAGCCTCTTTGCCTGATGTTCTTTGGCATTTTCACAGTCTGCCAGTTTTACCTGAACCACTGTCCAGGCAGTAGCCTTTCTCAGTGCTACATCCAGGTTCCTATTGGAACCTCTGTGTGGATCGCCTTCCACATCATCCACCTGAAGTTCCTATTTTTTTAAGTTTCTTTAAGGCTCACCCTTTCCCAGCTCCTCTGTGCAGACTAAGCTAGTCCCTATTCTTATTCATACCTGGCCAGTATTGCCATTTTGCATTGTGATGAACTTATGGAGGGCAGAAAGATGATTTTGGTTATTCTCTACCTCTGACTCTGAC